GAAACGCTAGGTGGCTGCATCTGGGGACAAAGGGACATTGATTTAGGTCGACACGATTTTGGTCGTGTCGAAAGGGGGAATTGTTAGGTATTTTTAGTCAGATAGATATTGGTTAGATACTTTATGTATTAGAAATGTTTAGTGGAGATAGGATGTCTAGTTAGACTGTTAAATGCTTAGTCATGCTTATGAGTTTCTACAGGGTACATCTGGTCAAGGATAACTAGAGAGAAGAGTTGATGACTGTCAGCAGACAGGATGTTTAATATTATTATTATGACGTGTATAACTGTAGCCTTAGCCATAATATGTTCTTATGTTTAATATCGTGACATGTCACTAGAGGTCAGTGAGAATGTTTTTAGCTACACACCACTTAATCAACAGACACACGCACATTGATTTACTTAATGTTTTGACTACTGCTATGACCAGCTGCAAAGCTGGCACCAAGGACACGTTGCGGTTGACGTTTCTGTGTAGTATGGGGCTAGCCCCACCGAGGGGATATAATGTATAGGCCTGGTGGGTTCAGGGTCTTTCATCTTACATCTGCCTGCGAGCATGTTGGAGGTGCAAGATACCTGAGCATGTAATGTTAATTTTTACCTGTGATCCTTTGAATAAATCAGCACTGTTTTCAAGTTACTTGGACTGTCTCGTCTCTCAGAGTCCGTATGGTAAAAAGTACTGGGTACAACACTCCCCTTATGTGACTTAAGAACCTCAAACTGGAAACACCTATAATCTGCTTTTACCTCACTGCAATGTGCGGCTGCCCCCAAACAGTCGAACAGTTGAGTCATTAGTCAAGTGACCCGTCAGTTGCCCAAGACTCTTCTAGTTGTGCCTTTGTTTTTATTATATTTTATTTTTTGTCTGTCAGTGTGCATTATAATTGTTTTTATTATATTTAATTTTTTGTCTGTCAGTGTGCATTATAAGGTAGCCCCAACCGATTACTTTGTCTTCTTCTACTCATTTTGGTGTGCCAAGCAGCACTAGGGAGCTAAAACAAAATGCACAGAGAAACATTTCAATGAGGAATTATAAATAACAGGAATTGTTCGCAGCACAAACTGGCACACATCAAAACGCATAGTAACAACATGAACGGTCATTAACTGACGGGAGAAGCTTAAACTTGTTGGTAAACTAGGTTATAACCTTGTCTGAAAAAATGCCTATAAGAGCATTGTTTCAACAGAAATACCATTGTGCTACCTGTCTCCTTATTCCAACTAGGCCATACAGCAGCTCGACAATATCAGCAATTTAAATATTGCACCAGCTGTCTTATTTATTTTTAAAAGCTCAGAAATATGCTCCTGTCACTCTTTAGCATTTACGTAAACACCGATGTAATGTAGTCGAAATCATTACTGAAATTTCATGCCAGTTGATTTTCTGACAGTCCAGGCTATATATTTATTTAAAAAAAAAAAAAAAGAAAGAAAATGAATATTAGAATAGTCACAATGAAGAGCTGACTGACAGTGAACTGACAAAATCTTTAGTCAGGTACAGCCCTACTGCAATGTCAGTATCATGGTCACTGAAGATAGATTATTATTATGTAGGACAAAACTGTCTCTACAAAGTTAAAAAGCCTACGCAGTTTCGGTCTCTATTGTTCTAAAATATTCCAGCCATCTTCTTTTCATTGTGCTTAGCAGTGCAAAACTTAGACTCTAATTAAATGTTTGTGTGCAAGACATAATTAGAAGTGACATGCTAACTGGGCAGTAACAGAGGTGCACCCAAGGGTGGACATTTCATCAGTTTCTCTGAAAACACAACACGTATACAGGCTCAGCTTTAACTGAAGAGGTGCACTGGCCCTAAATCACCAACTCATCTCAGTTTCAGTCTCTGCTGTAATGTTAGAAAGTTACCCACTTTTCCTGAAGTCAGTAACCCCCAATACATATACATATAGCCTACATAGGTCATTCCACAAAATGGTGGAAGTGCTGTCACTTAGTTTATTTTTGCAACCACCAAAATCCTTAAAGTTGACATGATAATCACATTAATTATACTGGCTATGTTGAACTGTGCTTGCAATGATAAAACAACGTTTAGTCATCTAATGTTCACTTTTATTATTAGCAAATAATTTAATATGCCAATTATCTTTTCACTTCGACCATCAGCCTGCAGGGACCTGGAGCCATATAGGCCTACTTTTCATTTACATTTTTAGTTCATGAATTACAGTCTCATTGACATTAATATTACATAGGCTATATTAAATATAAAACAAATAAAAATAGCTAATTGTTAATATCAATGATCAGAGACCCAAAATAGGCTTATGCATTAAGCTCTACAAGTTGTGGATTTTTCAAGGTTATAAGTTAAAGGACCAGAAAATATTACGCATTTAGGCTGTGGATTAGTGGTTGTAATTAACCTTCATGATATAGTTCCTGAATAACATATGCTTTCTGTTAAGAACAGTGGTTAGAAAATATATATTTTAGGCAACATTCAGTCGGTCCGCTACCACCTGTCAAGTTTGTTCTATTACAGCAGCCTTGTTTCCATTTTTACATATTATGTGCTTGAACTCCACATAAATAAGCTCAGTGGGTCTGAAGTCCAGTCAAGGTTTTTATTTGCCATTTATGCATAAACAGACAGTCTAGGCATATAGGAATTCTTGTGCAGCTCTCCTTTGGAGTTAAAGGCCAGAAAGAACATTTAGTTTTAAAATAAAAAGTTACATAAAGGCAACAAAGCATTAAAAACCACAATACACAAAAATAGGGTAATAGAATTTTCCCCAATGAACTTTAAACATCGCACTAAGTAATTCACATGGTGGAGTTGGATATGTCATTACGCTTGGTGAGGTAGTGAGGGGTTATAACATACTAAAACACAGTTTATATTCAGGCCTGTTTCCACTGCTTGGTAGAGAATGTCCTGCTATTATTCAGGTCCCCCAAGAGAACACTGTTGATGAGATGGTCTTACAAAAATACCTTGTGGAACATTTCTGTATTATTATTGCACATGTCCAGTAAGGGGTTATTGGACATATATTCTCACATTTCTCACATTTTTGTATTTGCCATCCTCTTAGTTATCCCCTCTGCAGTCTTTATGACCCTTTGAAGAGCCTTCCTCTCTGCCTGTGTGGTGTTACCATAACAGACTGTGATGCCAGTAGTGAGGATGCTCTCTACCAGTCCTCTATAAGTCTGAGTGAGAGGGCGACGGTTCAACCCAGCTTTCTGAACTGCCTGATGAAGTATAGCCGCTGCTGGGCTTTCTTCACAGCACGAGTCTTCGATAGGTGTGCTCAAAAACCCGACAAGCACGGTGCTGTTCGAGCTGGCTGGGCTAGGAGTCCATTCATTTTAAAGACACTACTTAACACATGCGGTGTGCTGGTATGGCAAAACGGAGCGCAGCTTCTATGTCTGCATCAGTGAATCTGTGATCGACCTTGTGGTTCCCTGAAAAAAGCCTTTACAGAGCATTCATCTTAATCACTTAGATCTGGTTTGACCTAGCTGCATTCCCTCAACCTGGCTTTGCCTTTGTGAAAGGCATTAAGACAGGATGCATTTAGTAGACTAGGTTAAGCCTCGCTTTGTCTTGTTATCTTGGATTTCTTAAAACTACTTTGTGCAGTTCCCTCCTGGAGGTGTGTTTTGAGTCACTGTCCTGTTGAAAAACAGGAGACAACCTTACTAAGTGCAAACCAGACCTGATGGCATGTTGCTGTTGCAGGATGTGGTGGCAGCCATGCTGGTTAAGTGTTCCTTGATTTCAGAATAAATGTGTCTGGTGCCAAACCACCATCACACCTCCTCCTCCATGCTGTACCATGGAAACCACACCTGCAGACACCATCTGTTCAGCTTCTCTGTATCTCACAAAGACACTGCGCTTGCAACTGAAAATCTCTAATTTGACCAATCGGACCAATGTACAGATTTCCACTGGTCTAATGTCTATTCCCTGTGTTTCTTTGGCCAAGCATGTCTCTTCTTCTTGTTGGTACCCCTAGTAATGGTTTCTTTGCAGCAATTCAACCATGAAGACCTGATTCACACATTCTCCTCTGAATAGTTGGTGTTGAGATGTGTCTGCTTCTTGAACTCTATGTAGGCTCTAATCTGAGGTGCAGTTAATCGGTGATATCGAGACTCTGATCAACTTGTGCTCTGCAGCAGAGGAAACGCTTGTCTTCCTTTTCTGGTCTCATGAGAGCTGGTTTCATCACAATGGCTAATGGTTTTTGAAGCTGCACTTTCCCGATCAGCTGACCTTCATGTCTTAAAGTAATGATGGGAGTCTGACAAGTCCCACCTGTTAATTGAAAAGCATTCCAGGTGATAACCTCATGAAGTTAGTTAAGGTAGTGCCAATAGTGTGCAAAGTTGTGGTAAACAGTCTACTTTGAGGAACCTACAATATGAAATGTATTTTGCTTTCATTGACACTTATCCTTATTAAATAATTCCATGTGTTATGTCATAGTTTTGATGACTGCAAAGTTGATCTATAACGTAGAATATAGCCGAACAAAAGAAAAACTGTTTTACGGTTACTGCAGACCTGTACGTTACGGCACATATACATTATTACACGGCAATTATAATTATAATTAATTATAATAATTGTCATACCCGCCTTTTTAAAACTATCCTATAAAATAATCAAGGGCCCAGTGGAACAACTGCGATTATGCCGAATTAAAGGTCTCGAAATGATTCAGACAACGTTTTTTAATTATGTTCCGAGGAAGGATATAACATTAAGCATGAGCAAAAACTGTATAAACCAGGACGTTTTTATAAACTTTAAGGTTGACACGGTCTCGATGACAAACTGTCCAAATACAAGCAGCAGGACTCGGTTAGCGATTTAAAGTTACCTAGTCACACCCTAATAGCAAATGTAGCTGGAGTTAGTCACAGTGACGGCCATTAGCCTACAGCGTCGTTCGTCTGTTTCCGGATACACAGTGGATGCGCCCCCGGCTACAAAAGCCTCTCCTCCCAGCTCTTTCCCAGGCCTCACCTCCTCCTGCTCCGCGAGATGACAGCGGTTATTGGGATGCCACTCATTGCAGCGGTGGAGGCTCTTCACCAAGCAGCCTCTGTCAGCTGTCAGTCCATTTTTTACACCGTGACACACTTCCCAGCTGGATGGCTTGGTCGTGGGGCTTTCAGTCATTTCTGACCAACAACTGTGGAGACGCGACGGTAACTAGCATGTAGGAACACGGAGGTTGGTCGCGGTGCAAAGCGATGACAGTATCAGAGACGGGAGCGTTTGTAACCACACTACCAACACTCGATCACACAGACATACAGCACACCGAGGAACCGAGGAAGACTCCACATACCAAATACCGGAAATCAACGCCCATAAATCATACGGGGCGGGGCCACGTGCTCACGTTTCCTAAAGGGCGGGGCTTACTGTACGAACTTGTGTGAAGAGATCTACAGTAGATCAATATCTAATGGCATGTATAGTGCATTTTAAAAACAACAATGAGAGCATCTGACTTACAAATACAATAGGCAACATTAAGTCGTTTAAAATTACAGCATGAGACAACCACAAGATGTAAAGGGTATGCTATTGCCAGTATTTCAAAATAAAGTTCACATTTTTATACTGTCTCAAAATAGAACTCAGTGGGCACCTTGAAAAAGCTCCTTTATTTCCTCTTCATCATGAGTGAAGGCCTTTCCCTAAGCAACACACTCCGCAGGAGTGTTTCCTTCCAAAGTAAGACATAGATGTAGGCTACAGTCAAAATACAGATAGTATTTGGAGCGATGTCACATCTGAAATGACAATATATCACTATATAAACAGCACGCTAGTCTCTATCTAGGCTACAGACAAAAGGTAACTGTATTACTGTATTACTTCATATAGACTATGGATGGTATACATACACAGCAACATTAGTCAACCTGAATGTCATATTAATCCCCACAGGTAGAACATTGCCTAGATAACAGCAGTGGAACAGCAACAATCTAAAAATAATGAAGCATATAGTACTTTGACAATGTGTCGTACAATTAAATATGGGACCTGCAGCATGAAAATAACACAGCAAATAAATGAACAATGTTACAATATATGGATGAGAAATGTAACCTCCACTCCCTTGTCCTTTGTCTCTGTTAGACATGAACTTGAAACAGTTCAGCGAGTCTGACTGTGACAGTTTCAGCTCTGTGATGATAAGAGATGATATTGGTCATCTTGTTGGAGCTGGAGGGAAAGTGCTCACGCTGAGCTTGAATGGCATCACCTATATATAGATATAGATATAGATATAGATATAGATATAGATAAACCAGACTGGCTCCTCCAATTTAATTAAGTAAAGATCTCCTTTGTAAAATATTATGTGATAATTAAGAAAATGAAAACATACAATGCTCACATGCAAGAAAAACTAAGACAACCTGCTGCAAAAGTCATTTAAAGCAAAACAATCAAGTTCAGTCATTTTGATAAAGGTTATTTGTATCACAAATACAAGTAAAACAGTTTTTAATACTATTTACTACAATTTTCTTTTCTTCCAGGCCAAATAGACCATCCGCTCAGCAGTCAAAGCTCTTTGCCAAATGAAGAGGAAGGACACTATGGTACAATAAGTTATTAAGTGTCCCAACTTACACAGTTTTATCCATTATTATCATTTAACACTTCTTCTTCCAACAGGAATGTGTAAACGTCATTCGGACACACAATGGAGGATGGTAAACTAGCCTGCTTGTATGTGGGACAAATGTTTTCAACTCTGCATATGATTTTATGGTAAGCAATTTTGTTCAAGTTTCCAGAGATACTGTTGCTAAGGGTATATTTTTCAAGAAGTGACACACAGCAAATAGAGAAGCTAAAACTATTTGTGATGTTGTACAAAATAGTGAAAAATAAAGCTCTTTAAGGGGAAATATTAAGGTTCAGGAGCGTTACAGTTTTTCTTCGTCACTTTTGTACATTTCTTAGATCATTTCTTGTTCAATATCCACATCATCCAGTCACTTGTGCACATCATTTAAACAATTTCTCATTGTTTTTAACATATTGCTAATGCTTTGGCACATTCATGCAGCTGATTTTGTAAAATTGTCTGTTTTCTACATTATCAGTTCCTTATGTCATGTTGATCAAAATGTTTTATACTGATTCTTTGTTGTCTGACCTCCCACAACCTTTAGGCATGAGTTCATTATAAATGCAATTACATGCTAAAACAGGTGAACTAGTTGTCTTTAGTATTTGTCAAGCATATTTCTATAAAGCTCTATTAGACTTTTTTTCAACTTTGTCTGAACTGTTGAATTGCTATCAGGTGAATCTTGACTTTCACTAATGAAGGGGAATCTGCGAAGCTCAGCGAGATTAACCAATGATCAACCAGTTTTCTACTGTAAAATAGCTCAGAGGTGCCTCTCATAAACCTTCGACTGGAAAGAATATATAAAAAGAGCACAACACAGTTACAGTTTCTGACAATGGAAGAACGAGGAAATGAACATCAACTGCTGTATAGAACAAGAAGAGCCTGTGTGGTGGAAGGGTATGGGAGCAAACAGAGGAAAGGGGAGAAAAGGCCAAACACATACAGTAAGCATGTTCCCACTGAAATATGATCCACACTTTAGGACAATATTGTCAGTCATGGCCTTACAAAGGCTGGTTGAAGGCAGCCGAATGATGGGAGAATGACTGTTCTGTCTAGGGGTGTTTCCTGTGTTTACATGTCTAATGTTGTGTCTTTTCCTTTGTGCAATGCAATGATATAACATATTTCTTTTCTGTATTGCAATGACATTACTGTAAAAACAGTAAAAGCATAAATGTGAATACTGTCTAATCTTTTGAAATCAGTCTCCCACATACAGTAATATGTAACTATGTACTGTTGAAATGGACGAATACCATACAGAAAATGTGTAGCCCTATGTATTTTCACTCATTGTCATCAAAACCTGATTCACAGTTTTCATATGAAAATACTTACATTACAAATACTCACATTACACTGTTGTATTGACAACATGACTAAACATTCTGACTTCCTTGTTCATAAATGACAAAAGGACTTGTCATTCTGACAGCACTGGCATGTTCACTGACATTAGTATTTACTTCTGAGATATAAACTAAGGAGTGACGTTCCTCTGCAGCTAATCCACTGTGTGGTGCTGTTTGTACAAATTGTTTCAAGAAATGCTCTTATGTTTTGTAAATATCAAGGATGTTTCAAAAAATGTACCAAAGCGAATGATAAAAATTGTAAAGTATAGTTTAAGATTTGAAATAAATTGAATAAATTTCTTGCTGAGATTTAAAGAAGATGATTCATACCATTCTCACACCTGTCTGGTAAATGTGTACATGTAGCTAGACCCAACAGTTGGTTAGCTTAGCTTAGCTTAGCTTAGCTTAGCTTAGCTTGGCTGAGGCTTAGCCTGGCTAGCTGCCTGTTTTTGGCTTTGTCAGCACAAATGTCTCTGCACTGTTTGTTTTGATGCTAGAACATGTGGCAGCTCAACAGAGACTAAAACAAAGTTTACTGATTTGACCAAGCAAGAGAGTCATTGGTGGGGTTAGGGGGTTCCCGGGCCATGCCACTCCAAAATGAGTTATTGTACCCACACCCACAAGCCAAGCCACTGGTGCCAAATGTACCATTTTATTAATTAATTTACATCATGCAATGACTGCCTTCTTGCCTGGGACACATACTGTGGCTGGGACCAGATCAGAGACCAGTGTATATCTGTTGCAGGCACATCATCTGAAACTATGTAAGACATATGATACTTAACTTACTGAAGCACTGGTCTTTAAATGACTAATTTTTTGTTGTGAGCTTAAGTTCGAAAGAGATATGATTCATCTTGCATGATTCAGAGTTTGACTGATACAAGCATCAAGATGTGCCCAACCTCTGATAGTAAGTTAAACATTACCATATGCTCATACAGTACAACCTAGTAGAGGCTGACTAGAATAGGTCACACATATTACCCATAATTCTATCTTCTTGCAGATTGTACAATAAAATCTTGTTTATATTGAGTAGGACATCTTAAACAAATTATATGGAGGTAATATAGGAGATTTACATTAAAAATTTTAAAACATTCACTAAGATTTAATGTGTGTTTGCTCCACCTGTTCTTCAGTGAAACAGAAACCTGTCATTGTCCACCTCACCATCAGGATAATGCAGAAATGTCCCCCATTACCTTGTCCAAATTCAGGACACTAAACTTTATAGATCAATATCCAATCTCCCCTTTATTTCTAAAATCCTTGAAAAAGCTGTTGCAAAGCAGTTATGAGGCCACCTGCACAAGCATGATTTGTTTAAGGATTTTTCAGTTTGGGTTTGGTTTGGTTGGGCTCCCAACATCATAGTACAGCAACTGCACTGGTGAAAGTCACCAACGATCTCCTCCTAGCCTCAGACAAAGGACTCATCTTTAATAATAATTATTGTCCTCTTAGATCTCACTGCTGGTTTTGACACCATTTGTCATAGTATCTTATTAAATGATAATGGTCTTATACTTGTATAGCACTTTTCTATGCTTTACAGCACACTCAAAGTGCTTTCACATTACTTGGCCATTCACTCAGCACTCACACATTCACACACCGGTGTTATCACTGGGAGCAACTGGGGGTTCCATGTCTTGTTCAAGGACACTTTGACATGTTGACTGGACAAGCTGGGAATAAATCCTAATCCTAATCCTCCGGTTAGGAAACGACCCACTCCTAAGCCACAGCCGCCCCGTTGGCATGTATTAGCTCTAGAATTGCTACAGTTATCCAAGTAACATGAGAGCAATCAAAGAAACCATAACTGATTTAATGAGCCATTCGCAATTTCACTGTACCGGCAGAGACTACAACATGTTATTGGGATTAAAGGAACTGCACTAAATTGGTTCAAATCTCATTTATCAGATAGATTCCAGGTGTTCATGTTATTGATGAATCTTGCACCAGACTAAATTTAGTCACGGCATTCCACAGGGCTGTGTGTTAGGTCCAGTTCTCTTCACTTTATAAAATGCTCCCTTTAGCCAATATTATCAAGGAAACACAGCATAAATTTCTACTGCTCTGCAAATGATAATCAGTTATATCTATGAACCCAGATGAATCAGATCAGCTGGTCAATCTTCAAGCATGGCTTAAAGATACAAAGGCCTGGATGACCTGCTAATTCCTTACTTCTAATCTATGACAAAACCAAAGTTATTGTACTTGGGCCTGAAAACCTTAGAAATCTGTTGTCTAACCATATATAGTTACTCTCAATGGCATAGCTTTGGCCTCCAGTACTACTGTGAGGAACC